ATAATATTGGTCGGATTTTACGTACCAAACTTCATATGTTATCCCTCAATATGATTCCCTGCTTATTTTCTCCTAAAAGTTAGCATTCTCAAAAGTCTTGAGTTCTCATAATTCTATTTTATCATTTGAGATTTTAGAAATATAGGTTGTGTTTGGTAAGCATATGAGCTAGCTTTGGTAGGATGGACTTTTTTTAAAAAGCTCGAGTGTATAATACACTGTGTATTTCATAAGCTTCGGGTAGCTTTTCAAATAAGCCCATTCAAGTTTGATTCTGCTAATGTTAGTGAACACTTTTATCAGATAAGCTAAATTTTCAGCAATAAATTCATAAGATATCAGCTACAAGCTCAAAATTCACTTACAATCTATAAGCTGATTAGCTATGTTTATTGGTTACCAAACATAACCATAGTCTTTTACATTTAGTTGGTTTAGAATGGGGGCTTATTCCTCCTCGGTAACTACTTTCATAATTAGAAAAACAAATTTTACCTAAAAACAATTTTCGAACTGCAGGTATGAAGATGCTTTTAACCGGTTCATTGATGAAATAAACTCTGTTGCGGCATATGAATGGTGGGAAGGATCTGTACATAGCATACTTTCGGTCCTCGCTTATCCTTGTGCCTGGTCATGGAAACAATGGCGTAGGAGAAAAAAAGTTCATCGGCTTCAAGAGTTTGTCAAATCCGAATATGACCATTCTTGCCTTCGTTCTTGTCGATCACGAGCTCTATACAAAGGATTAAAGGTTAGATGTACACTGGAGTTTTTTTTTTATATATATTGTTTTCATTTCCATCGGGAAAAAATCTGGAAAGAAAATCTGTGTGATTTTTGCTTTGCAGGTTGGGGCAACACCTGATTTGATGGTTTCGTACATTGATTTTTTCCTTGGCGGTGATGAGAAGCGTGTAGATATGGTGGCCAGTATACAGAAGAGATTTCCCATGCGAATCATTTTCGGTGGAGATGGAAGTTACATGTCTCCTTATAATCTGTACAGCGACACATTATTATCGAATCTCATTGCACAGGTACACGGCTATTTTGGATTTTTTTTGGCTGTGTTTGATAAGAATATAAGCTAACTTATAGCTTATTGATTAGCTTATAAGCTTTTTATATTCAAATAAGCTTGATTTGGTAGGATAAATAGCTCGAGTTTTGATTTGGTAGGACAAATAGCTCGAGTTTATCTCATAAGTTTTCTTGGGTAGCTTTTCAAATAAGTTTATTGAAATTTTTATCTCAGCTAAATTTGACCAAACAACTTTTCAGCCTTAAGTCTTAAGCTATCAGATATAAGCTCGAAATTCACTAGCTATCTTTTCTGTTAGGTATACCAAAAATAGCCTTTATCATTGTTAGGACTCGGGCCAAGGCAAAAAACAAAATTTACAATTCATTAAAATGAAACAATCTTTTATTTTTCTAATCCATATAAGTTTTATTGTACCTTTTTTAGCATGTACCTGCAACAGTTTGGAATCGTTTAGTGGCTGGTTTAAATGCCCAGCTGAGGACAGTTAGGCATGGAATTATCCGTAAAGCCCTTTGTCCTGTTATCAATTGGCTGGCTACTCATGCGAATCCACAACTCGATTTTCATGGGGTTAAAATCGAGCTCGGCTGGTTCCAAGCTACATCAAGTGGTTATTATCAACTGGGTATTTTAGTGATTGCTGGAAGCTCTACTCTTCATGATCTTCATCAGTCCGAATATTGGGATAACAGTGATATATCATCCAGGTAGAAATCGAGAGAAAAACAACTTGAAATAACCTGAATTGTCGATTAGTTTTTCCTTTCCCTGTCTGAGATTTGTGAAACAACCAACCATTTCATCACTTTTTTATATCTTTTTTTAACCGAGAGAACCAAACCCATGAATGAAACAGATTTGCTCAACACCCATTTTCTCTTTTTACATATTTTTTAACTAACTATGTTCATATCAGTTTCAAATTATTTATGTCAGGCAAAAATTGCATTTCTAGTCTATTGGTTTAACGTCATAGCAATTTTAGTCCTAAGATTTCAACATTTCGCCTTTTGGTCTTCTGACTGAAAAATTGCAAGAAAATTTTAATTACAACACTAAAAATTACAATAAAATTTTAAATTACAGGACTTAAATTGCAAATCGAATTGCAAATCGAAGATCTAGGAATTTGGGAACTAACAAATTTACAAAAAACAGATTTTGTTGCAATTTTAGTTCTCAAATGGCTGTAATTGCTGTAATTGCGGCAAAATATTAAATCGCATGACAAAAAACAAAATATTGGAACCTGAAGGAGCCCTTTTTGCCCATTTTTCTCTTCAAAATACACCCCTACAATTCGTGCCTCGGTCTATTATTTGGGACTAAAATTGCTATGGCATTAAACCAGCAGGACTAAAAATGCAATTTTGCAAACTTTTTTTTATTTTTTCCCTTTTCTTTCTCTGACTGAAATTTGTGAAATTAACCAATCATCAGGAACCTCGGTGTGGCAGCAAATAACAGTTTGGTTTACACGAATCATATACAATCCCGTAAAAAGATTACAAGGGGCTTCAATGGTGGTATAATAAACGAGACTACATTAAAGTCACTACGCTGTAAACGGGACTTTCTTTTCCCATTTTCTCTTTCGTTGCTCAACACACGTCCAGTTGGCAGACAGGTACGTAACTAATACGTAATATTCTCTGGTATTATAAACGAGACTACAATAAGGTACTGTTTGTCTTGTTTAACGTGTACTTATCTTATCCGTGTTTTTCAGGATACTATACAGCTGTTGATTACTATCATGCTCGTGGCTGATCTTTTTGTCACTCTTCTTATGCTTTTTATGTTTTACTGGATATCTCTCGGAGCTTTCCTTGCTGTACTCCTTATCCTCCCTCTATCCTTGCTGTCACCTTCCTTGGCAGGCTTGAATGCCTTGTTTACGAATGGTCCTAGAAGTGCCCCACTTTTTCGAGTTTACGCCTTGTGGAATGCTAGCTCGATCTCAAACATTGTAAGTGATCATATGCATTCGGAAAAACTTTGAGATTGAGATAAAACGGAAGAGTATAAATGGAAATGTACAAAGTGAAAGGAAGAATTGAATCTAGTGAAAAATATGCTTCAGTCTTCTGGAGGACTTTAACTTTAATTTGCTACAAGAAATACTTTAAGATTGCACATAATATCTGTGGCTTTTCATAATTCTATTTTCTATAACTTTTTTTTTTTTTTTTTTTCAGGTGGTTGCATTTGTCTGTGGCTTGATCCATTATGTGATTTCCTCTGTGATTTCTCCAGAAGAGGCAAAGATATGGCATTCAAGGTCAGTAGTTTAAGTGACAACCTTATTTTACATATTATCGAATTAACTATGTTCAACTTTTTAGTCCTCTTGGTTTAACGTCATGGCATTTTTAGTCCTAAGATTCCAACTTTTGTCTTTTGGTAATGTGATTTAATATATTGCTGCAATTTTTGTCATGACTGAACCATAGTTTTAAATGGCGAGGCGATTCGCCCATAGCCTTGCCACGAGGCGAGCGATTCGCCATGGCGAGGCCTCGGCAACACAAGCAATCAAAGCTTAAAAAATATATTTATATAGGTAGGAATATCATATATTTAAGTTTAAGTGTCAAAAATAACCTTTAAATATCCTCATATATTATTTTCATTATATTATTTTCATTGAGGATATTTAAATATGTTTACTAGTATGGTCAATAGCCAAGGCGACTTGAAGCGAGCGCCTCGCGAACAGGGTTGCCTCAGGCAATGGCGAGGCGATGTAGCCCTCGCCTCGGTCGCCTCGCCTCGAGGCGTCCCCATGGCGTCCCCATTTTAAACTATGGATTGAACAATAACATTTTAAATTACAGCACATA